GGTTTTTGCTATAGGGCACGTGCGCTCGCCAGACAGACAGAGAGAGACATAGAGACAGAAAGCGAGAAATCACCCCCCAGGGGGGATGGTCACGCCTCTATCCCTTCTCCATTCTCCTCTCGGGATCTTGGGCACGCACGCACACGCGCCTGGTGTGAATTCTAAGCCACCGGGCCCGGGACATGAACCACGGTCGACTACGTGGGAGTCCAGCGACATAGCCATTACACTAACTGCTGGTTCCCTTCCTGATTCAATCTTGGTAGACTATATGCATCCAGAAATTTGTCAATCTCATCTAGGTTTTCTTGTTTTTTTGGCATATAGTCACTTGTAGTATTCTCTCATGATCTTTTGTATTTCCATTGTGATCAGAAAAAATGTTGGATATAGTTTGTATGCCTCTGAACTTGTAAAGGCTTGTTTTGTGTCCTATTATGTACTCTATCTTTGAAAATGTTACATGTAGGAGTGAGAAGAATGTGTATTTTGTGACTGTTGGGTGAAAAGTTCTATCAATGTCTGTCAGGTCCATTTGATTTATGGCATTATTTAGATCCTTGTATCTGTGCTGCTTTTTTGTCTAGATGATCTGTCCAGAGGGGAGAGTACAGTGTTGAGATTTTCAACCATTAATGTGTTGTAGTCTAGTCTTGCTCTCTTTAGATCTAGCATTCTTTCTTTCACATACTTGGTTGCTCCAGTGTTGGGTGCATAGATATATATAAGTTTTATATTCTAGGTGGATTGACCCTGTTAGCACTGTATTGTATCCCTCTGTGTCTTTTTTCCTGGAGAGGTTTTTGCTATAGGGCGTATGTGCTTGCTAGAAAGACAGAGACAAAGAGACAGAAAGCAAGAAGTCACCCTCCATGGGGGATAGTCACACCACAATCCTTTCTTCTTCATTTTCCTGTCGGGATCCTGGGCACGCATGCACACTTGTCTGTCATGAGTTTAAACCACTGAGTCCAGGACTCAAACTGCGGACAACTACATGGGAGTCCAGTGACATAACCATTATGCCAACTGCTGGTCCCCCTCTTTGTCTATTTTTTCTTAAAATCTATTTTGTCTGATATCAGTATCATGACTCCAGCCTTTATTATTTTTTCCCCATTTCCATTTGCATGAAATATCTTTTTCCAGCCTTTTACTTTTAGTCTACATATGTCTTTACCAGTGAGGTGTGTTTTTTGCAAGCAGCAAGGGCTGCTGCTTTTTTTTTTTTTTTTTAATCTATTTAGCCAGTCTGTATCTTTTAATTGGAGGATTTCATCTATTAACATTAAACATTATTATCAATATTTGTGACTTTATCCCTGCCATTTTGTTGGTTATTTTGGCATGTGCTCTTATTTCTATTCATCTTTCTTTAGTTTTCCTGATATAGTACTGTCTTCAGTACTTCTTGAAGAATTGGTCTAGCATTGGTAAATTCTTCTAGTTTTTGTTTTCTGGAAATGATTTTATTTGTTCTTCCCATTTGAATGATAATCTCGCAAGTATAGTATTGGTTGAAATTGTTTTTTTTTTTAGTGCTTTGAATATGTCTTCCCATTCTTTCCTTACTTGCATTGTTTCAGTTGAGAGGTCTGAAGTTAGCCTAATAGAATAGCCTTTGTAAGTAATTTGATGTATCTCACTTGCCATTTTTAGAATCTGTCTTTGTTTTTTTATTTTTTCCAGTCTGGCTATGATGTGCTGTGGAGAAGGTCTCCTTATGTTGATTCTGTTTAGAGTTCTTTTTATTTCCTGGGCCTGAATTTCAACTTGTGTCTTTAGATTTGGAAAGTTTTCAGATAGTATTTATGGAAGAAGTTTTATGTGCCTTTATCAGTTTCTTCAACTTCTGGAATAACCATTATACATATATTTGGGTATTTAGTGGTTCTAGAATTTGCCATGTTGTCCTCATTTTTGGGGTTATTTTTTTCATTGCTTTTGGTGGTTTGATCTATGTCAGAACTTTGTCTTCAAGGTCAGAAATTCTTTCTTCTGTTTGATCCAATCTGCTCTTAATGCTTTTGAGGGAGGTTTTGATTTCTTGTATTGTATTCTTCATTTCCAGGGGGTCTGTTTGATTTTTTTTAAAGAATTATTTAGCTTTATTTATTTTAATTTGACCAGTGAGGGACAGAGAGAGAGAGAAAGTGAGAAAGCCAGATATCAGGTCTGGGACTCAACTGCAGTCAGCCATGTGGGAGTCCCACACCCTTAAACATCACACCACTTGCTGGCCCCTGAATTTTTTTAAAAAAATTTTTATTTTCTAAGAATGATTTTATTTAACATTTATTTATTTTGACCAGAAAGGAACAGAGCGAGAGAGAGGGAAAGTGAGAAAAAGCAAGCCACCAGATCTGGGCTCGAACCGCAGTCGGCCATGTGGGAGGGAGTCCAACACCTTTAAGCACCACACCACTTGCCAGCCCTGACTTTTTTTTTTTTTTAAAGGTGCCCATCTCTTTATGAAATTTCTCTTTCATGTTATGGAATGAATTTTTTATCCTCTGGAATTGTCAGTTTTCTCTTGAATCTCATTAAATTTTGTCACAATGAACATTCATAATTCTTTTTCAGACATTTCTGTAAATTCTTTTGTGTTGTCTGTTGTTGGAGAGGGGTTATTGTGTTCCCTTGGGGGAGAGAGATTTTCTTATTTTCTCATGTTTCTTGAGTCTCTGCACTGGTTTCTGGTCATCTGGTGAAATATTCACTTCTTCCTAATTATTGGAGTCGAGTCTGTAATTTTGAAAGGGTGATGATCAGCCCTGTATCCCAGGTGTATTCCTGGAAAAGACCTACTTCTTACAGTTCAGAGCAGGGTTCCAGTTCAGGCTGCTTCAGGTGGTTGACTCCTCTCCCAAACTTTTAAATTCTGATGAGCCAGGGATGAGCTAGGGAGATAAGACTTAATGGAGAGTCAAGTGGTGCTTGTGCTCGAAGGTTCTGGGTCCTAAGGCCAACCTGGAGGGAGTCAGGATGTGCCCATGTCAGGGCTGGCACTGAAACCCAACTCCATCATGGGCAGGAGTTGGGGAAGAAGTAGCCGAGTGTGCACTGGAGGACTCTGGTCATCTTTCTACTCTTCATCACAGCATGAATGAAGGGGCTGAGTTCCTCCTGTGGGGGAGCCTTCTCTGTGTCCTTGTTGTCTCCAGTAGAGTGCTACCCTAGCCTCCAACCCACTGGCCTGACATAGCAGACCCCTCCAGGGACTGAGCCCAGGCTTTTCCGCTTCCATCTGTCTTCTCCTGCTCCTATCTGAGCAGTCTACCTACCTACCATATCAGTGTGGCTGCTATACTCCCTCTCCCTTCCATGGGTTCACACTTAGCTGTCCATGCCTCATTGGCACTGATTAGCAGCCTGATATATTGGGTTGTTGGAAAAGTCATGATGCATTTTTGCATAGAAAAATATGTCATGTCTTTTCTGATGACTCAGTATAATGCCTCTATTTCTTTTTCAAAATCTCAGCCTTCTTTTCCCTTCAACCACTCATGGGTTTGTGTCAGCAGTTGGCATTGGTGTCAGTGGTGACTCTCATCTCCAGGTGCAACTTTACTTACCTAGCTGTTTGTTTCTGTTTAAAATCCCAAGCCAAGATGCATTGAGTGGCAGCTGTGCATCGCTCCCGGCACTGAACCCCTCAGGACGCCCATGTCCAGGGAGCTCATCACCGTGACTGTCAGCAAACCTTTGTCAGCTCAGGGTCCTCAGGTGCACCATTACCTTCTGGGACTCTGCCTATCTTTGGAGAGGCAGTTTGTGTTTTCTTTTGTTTTTAGGTTTTTGCCATAGAGTATATGCACTTGCCGGAGAGAGTCAGAGAGAGAGAGAGGGAAAGTGAGAAATCATCCCCGGGGAGGATGGCCACATTACAATCCCTTTTTCTCCATTCTTCTGTGATGTTGAGTGCACATGTATGCACACATGCTTGGTGTGATTTTCAAGCTGCCAGGTCTGGGACTCTAACCACAGTTAGCCATGTACAAGTCCAGCACCTTAACCCCTACAACACCTGCTGGTCCCATAGAGGGTCTTTCTCTTTGTTGTTGTTAAGTTCCTTTTTTTTCTTTTGCTATAGAGCATGTGTGTACACTCACCAGAGACAGACAGAGAGGGAAAGTGAAAAATCACCACTTAGGAGGAATGGCTATGCCACAATCTTTTCTACATTCTCCTCTTGGGATTTTGGGCATGCATACATGAGCCCAGCATGTTTTTAAGCTGCTGGGTTTGGGACTTGAATTGCACAGTTGGCCATGTGGGATCCAGCCACCTTAACTTCCTCGCCACCTGCTGGCTCAAGTTCCTGTTTTTCTTTCATGAGAAAGAGAAAGGGACTTCCAACAGGGTCTTGCTATGACGTGATCTTCCCCTCAGCCTTCTACCCAGCCAGGATCACAGACATGTGGAAAGTGCTTTCTTATACGTTTTCTAGGTCTTTCCATCATTTCTGCTCAACATAATTGAAAATTAATTTTTCTTATAAGAGTTATTGGAGGAAGCGTCTCTCAGTCATCAGGGGTGTGCCTGCTTGCTGATCAGGTGTGTTTGTTTCAGGTGATTATGTTCTTGAAGAAGAAGGACAAGTTCATCAGCCTAGTTTTGACGCACATCGGCACCTCAGCCCTTATGGACCTGCTGTTGCGCCTGGTTAGCTGTGTGGAGCCAGCAGGGCTTCGGCAGGAGGTCCTGCACGTGAGTCTCTAGGCGTCCCTTCCCATCCTCTGAGGAAAGAGATCTGTTTTCCTAGTGTGACCAGGTGCTTGGTGCTTTCAGCTCTCCACCCAGCATTTTTTTTCTCTCTCTGATATCATCAGGAGTTCTTGTCAAGGCTGCCTTTCCCATTGTCCTGCCTCAGCCCATTCAGAAGCAAAGGGCAAGGCTGTTCCATCTCCCTCCACACTCTCCACTTTCTGCTCTATGAAGAACCAGAAATGGGCTTCCGTCACTTTTCCTCCCTTCCCCCAGCCAGTGCCTCTACCTCCGTGGCCTTGGAGCAGAGGCTCAGTGTGGTGCCAGCTCTGCGCCAAGCCTGTGTCTGTGAAGAAGGCTCTAGCTGACAGTGGTTTCACACAGCGGCCTGTTGTTTATCCTGGAGTGTGGACATTTCTGTCCTGATGGTGTGATTGGTGAAAATGCCTCTAGTCCCTGAAATGAGGAGGATTCCCAGCCCAGAGAAGGTTAGGAAATCTGTACTGGGAAGCTTCTGTTCAGTGATGTGTGGCAGGCTTTATTTGTATTACAATTTAAAATAAACCATTATTTTATTTCTGCCTATTTTCTAGCCTCTGAAATCAGGGATCATTGAGGTGGTTGTTCTTCCTCTTAGAATAATTACTTATTTCTTTATGTAGTAGCCTCCTACTAAGAGTAAATAATAATGTTTACCAAGCAAATGCAGTATAAATAATAAAGGTTGTATTATAATTATGACTGTATAGCTGTGCTCTAAGCAGCCTTTGGCCTGCATTACTTTGTTCAGTTCTTGAAGCAGCCATGTAGGGGCTGGTCATTAACTCTCAGATCAGGAATCTGAGGTGCACTGGAAGAGCCAGGTGTGGCCCCGTCCTGTGCTCTGACACTATCATACTGGGAACCCCTCACCCTTGGGCCTTGTCACATGCTTCAGCTCTCTGGTCTTCAGAGATCAGTTCTGAAGAAAGAACTTGTATATGCACCATTAGGGCAGACAGGCAGTGGCCCCCAGAATTCAGTTAATACATGTCATTTGGGTTCTTTCTGGGTCTGAGTTGACTGATGTGTCAGGTGGAGGCTGTCCTGGGCTACTTGGGCGCGTGGAACTCTGTTGCATTGAAATATTTTTTTTCTATTCACTTTGATGTGGACAAAGAATTTGACAGATCTTTTCCTCTTTCAGTGGCTTAATGAGGAGAAGATCATTCAGAGACTGGTGGAATTGATCCATCCAAGCCAGGATGAAGATGTGAGTGTGATGTCCATAGTGCCCACCTCCTGTATGAAGGCCCCATGCCTGGGTGGTTGGAGAACTTGTCCCTGCTGTCCCAGGGAGCAAGGGAGAGGGCAATCACTTCCTCAGAGGAGTACCAGTTACATACTTTCCTTCTTTTAAGCAAGTACTGACTTCTAGGGTTTGATTTAATTGATTTTTTTAAAGTTTGCTATAGGACATAGGAGCTCACTGAAGAGAGAGAGAGAGAGAAAGAGAGAGAGAGAAATCATCCCCCTAAGGGAGATGGCCATGCCACAGTCCTTTCTCCTTCATTCTCCTCTCCGGATTTTAGGCATACACACACTCACATCCGGTTAGCTGCTGGGTCCAGCACTCTGGTGGCTCAGTCAGCATCAGGGATCTAGCTGCCTTAACCTCTGCACCACCTGCTAACCTTAGTTTTTTTTAACTAAAATATTTATATATTATAAAGACAGTTCTTATAGAATTGTATTAGTTATCTATAATTGCATAACAAACTATCCCAAAACTTTGCTGGAGGTATTTCTTTTATTTTTTTTAAAGAATCATTTATTTAATTCTATTTGTTGTTGTTGTTGTTGTTTTTAAAGAACTTATTATTTTATTTTATTTATTGATTCACTTTTTTTTTTTTTTTTTTTTAATTTGACCCGAGAGAGGGGGGGAGAGAGAGAGGGAAGTGAGAAAGCAAGCCACCAGGTTCGGGACTCGAACCATGGTTGGCCATGTGGGAGTGTCCAGCACCTTAACCACAATGCTACCTGCTGGTCCCAAATCCCCATTTGTTGTTATTACTATTTTTAGAGAGAGATTTTTGCTATAGGATGCATGCGCTTGCCAGAGAGGCAGAAATTGAGAAATCATGCCCCAGGGAGGATGGGCACACTGTAATTTCTTCTCCCCTCAGGATTTTGGGCCTTTATACACATGTGCCTGGCATGAGTCTTAAGCCACCAAGTCCAGGACTCAAACTACGGTTGACTGCGTGGAAGTCCAGTGATGTAACCATTACGCCATCTGCTGGTCCTGTTACTTTTTACTATTATTTTTTAACTTGACCAGAGAGAGACAGAGAAAGAGAGAGGGAAAGGGAAAGCAAGTTACCAGGTCCAGGACTCGAACCGTGGTTAGACATGTGAGAGTCCAGTGCCTTAAACCACCATGCCACCTGCCGGCCCCAGAGGTATTTCTTTTCTCTATCAATAAGTTTCTCTTGGTCAGGATCTGGACCTGGCTTAGTGGCTCCTCTGCTCAGGGTCTCTCACAGGCTTGTGGTCATCTTAGGGTCCAGTTGGGACAGGGTCCACTCAAGGTCATAAGAGGCTTAGCAGCATTCAGCTCCTTAGATCTGTTGGCCGCAGCTGCCGTTAGCTCTGTGCCATGTGTGCTTAACTGTAGGTGGCTCACGACATGGTGGCTGGCTTCCCTGGAGTGAGAGGACAAAAGCCAATCTCATAAACTTATTTCAGCATAGCAACCCTCACCATGTAGTGTTCTGCTTTTTATTTATTTATTTATTTTTATTTATTTATTTTTTGGAGAGCTTTTTGCTATAGGGCGCGTGCACTCACCAGTCAGACAGAGAGAGAGAGAGACAGAAAGCGAAAAATCACCCCCCAGGGGGAATGGCCACGCCACAATCCCTTCTCCTCCATTCTCCTCTTGGGATCTTGGGCACGCACGCACACGCGCGTGGCGTGAGTTTAACAGGGTCCGGGACTCAAACTGTGGTCGACTACATGGGAGTCCAGTGACATAGCCATTATGCCAACTGCTGGTCCCATGTTCTGCTTTTTAGACATGAACAGCCAGGTGTAGCCCGTGTGGAAGTACACAGGGTTTGGAAGAGTCCTGCCGATTTGTGCCCTGGCCGCTCTGCTCTGTTTCCTGTCAGTCCATGTGGCCCAGCCAGTTAGCTGGAAGAGGTCATATTGGTTCCGAAGGAAGAAAAAAGAGATGGAGTACACCTGTAAGTCTGGATATGTGGGCTGACTGGACTGTCCCTGGTCCCAAAAGCAGGTTTGAGGCTGCAGATCAAACCTGGCTGCTCCATTTTTCCCTAAAATATTTCCAGCAATTGTCTCCTTATCTCAGTTTTCTTTTTCTTTTTTTTTTTTTTAAAGAATTGTTTATTTGATTTTATTTATTATTATCATTTTACAGTTTGACCAAAGAGAGAGAAAGCGTACACACACAAGAGAGAAAGTGAGAAAGCAAGCCATCAGGTCCAGGATTTGAACCTTAGTTGGCCATGTGGGAGTCCATTGCCTCAACCTCCACGCCACCTGCCAGCCCCTCCTTTTCTCAGTTTTTCACAGTGTGTACACCATTGCTGAGTCCGAGTCTGTGCCTATTCCCCATTCTCTTTTCTAATGTATTTCTCCCATGAGTAACAGAGATAGAGACTGCATCCCTAACAGGGTCTTGAAGCCATGATCCCCTAGCTTCAACCAACCTTGTATAACGAGTGAATGTGTGCCTGGAGTGCTTAGAGTGGTCTTCATAGGTGAGCCCAGTGCCTTCTGTGGGCCAGTCTCACAGAGCAGTGTGCTGACCCACTGTGCCACCCCCTATCTTCTGCATCCCTCTCCCCACAGAACTCCTCATTGAGTACATATGTGAGTCAGTGGTTCTAGACTTTCACTGAGTATATGTGTCTGTGAATGTTTTCCTAAAAAAGTTGAATCCTCTGTTTTCTCTGTAGCAACTTCCCTATTTTGGCTGGCTCAGCAGACTCTGAATAATAGCAGCTACTTATTACTAAGTTTGATATACAGTATCAGTGGGCTAGCAGGTGGTATGGAGGCGAAGGTGCTGGATTTCCACATGGCCAACCACAGTTCAAGTCCCAGACTGACAGCTTGAGAATTATACTGGGCACGCATGTACCTATGTGCTCAGAATCCTGAGTGGAGAATGGAGGAGAAGTAATTGCGGCATGATCATCCCCCTTAGGGGGTGATTTCTCACTCTCTCTCTCTCCCCCTCTCTGTCTCTCCAGCAAGCACACAAACAAAACAAAACAAATGCAATATTAATAATATGACTATTGGGGCCGGCAAGTGGCATGGTGGTAAAAGGCGCTGGACTCTTGCATGGCCGACCACGGTTCAAGTCTCGGACCTGGTGGCTTGCTTTCTCACTTCTCTCTCTCTCTGTGTCTCTCTGATCAAACTGGAAAATAATAATGATAATAATAATAACTAAAGTTAAATAAAATAATTCTTTGAAAAAAATATGACTGTGTACTCAGTATATCTCAAAACATGGATCGAGGGAACCAGCAGTTAGCGTAATGGCTGTGTCGCTGGACTCCCACATAGTCGACCATGGTTCGAGTCCCGGACCTGGTGGCTTAGAACTCACGCCAGGCGCGTGTGCGTGTGTGCCCAAGATCCCGAGAGGAGAATGGAGGAGAAGGGATTGCGGCGTGACCATCCCCCCTGGGGCGTGATTTCTCGCTTTCTGTCTCTATGTCTCTCTCTGTCTGTCTGGCGAGCACACGTGCCCTATAGCGAAAACCTCTCCAAAAAAATAAAACATGGATCGAGGGGGAAGAGCAGTATCTACATAGCATGTTTCACCATATGAGCCCCATTTGAATCCTTGGAGATTATTTAATACAGCTGAAGACATCTAACCAGATACCCATTTTGACAGTAGAAAAAGCAGACACAGGCATCTTTAAAATGACTCTGTTGGTTCATTTTTATCATTGAAAATTAGAGAAAGTTAGACATCTGTCAGGAGAATCAAACCCAGCTGAGTCTGGTCTGACTGCTGCGATTCTCCTTGCTCTGAGGGGCTCTGTGTCCTCTGTCTTTGCAGAGGCAGTCGAACGCATCTCAGACTCTCTGTGACATCATCAGACTGGGCAGAGACCAGAGTAATCAGCTGCAAGAGGCTCCGGAGTCAGACCCTCTCCTCACAGTGCTGGAGTCGTGAGTTTGGTGGGCTGCCCCAATACGGTGGGTCTCTGAGTCCTGGGGGTGTCTCAGCACTGCTTTCAGTACAGTGCTAGAAGTACCGGAAGATGCTACCACTTCTGTGACCCAGATTCTGGTGGCTGGTTGTGAAAAGCCCCTCCAGGCTCACAAGTTGGGTTAATGTGATGGTCTTGTTTCTAGAGGGAGGGGTCTCCAGAGTAGTCTTTTGGGAGACTTGGAAGGATCTGGGGTTCTCCCTGGGCTCCACCCAGCCAGAGTGAAGCCCCTCTGCTTTAGGGTGTTGCCAGGGTCCTCTGTGGGAAGACAGCCTGTCCTTACTCTGCTGGGCGGTGACCTCCAGTGTGACCGACAGGCAGGGCTGTGTGGAGCAGCTTCTAAAGAACATGTTTGATGGAGACCAGACCGAGAGCTGCCTCGTCAGTGGAACTCAGGTGTTACTCACCTTGCTGGAAACAAGGCGGGCAGGGTGAGTCTCACTTAAGGAAAAATGTATGAGAGTTGAAACTGACACTTTGGTGACATGGCTACCCATAGAAGTGGTCTGGATGATGATGTTTATGTACTGATAGTCCGTGATTTTTTGTTTGATTTTGTTTTTAGAGACATTTTTGCTATAGGGCATGCCAGAGAGAGAGAGACAGAGAAAGCAAGAAATCACCTCACAAGGGGGATGGCTATGCCACAGTTCTTTCTCCTCTCAGGATCTTGGGCATGCATACGCATGCACCTGGTGTGAGTTTTAAGCTGCCGGGTCCGAGACTTGAACCACAGTCAACTACGTGGGAGTCCAGTAATGTAACCATTATGCCATCTGCTGGTCCCTTGTTTTCTCTCTCTTTTTTTTTTTTTTCACAAGCCACTGGGTCTGGGACTTAAACTGTAGCTGGCCATGTGGGAGTCCAGCAACCTAATCCTACACCATCTACTTACCCCCCTCACTCCATTTTTTTTTCTTTTAAGAGAGATTTTTGCTATAGGGTATGTACACTTGCCAGAGAGACAGAGAAACAGAAAGCAAAAAATCACCCCCCCAGTGGGGATGGCCATGCTGCAGTCTCTTCTCCGTTCTCCTCCTGAGATCTTGGGCATACATGCACACGCACCTGGTGTGAGTTTTAAGCCACCTGATCTGGGATTTGAACTGTGGTCAACTACATGGAAATCCAGTGATGTAACCATTACACCACCTGCTGGTCCCAACTCTGTTTTTTTAAAGAAAGAACAAAGAATGACAGGAAAATAATGAGTTGGTTTAATTTTAGTTATGAGGTTATAAGCAGTCTGTCTGTCTTATATTATGTAACACATATTTATGAATTTGTTATCTAAAAAGTGAATTATGATGTTACAGTCATTTTGTCTGTTAGGCACATAGAATATTGAGTATTATCGGTTTTTTTTTTTTTTTTTTTTTTGGGGGTGTTTTTGCTATAGGGCGCGTGTGCTCGCCAGACAGAGACAGAGATAGAAAGTGAGAAATCACCCCCCAGGGGGGATGGCCACACCGCAATCTCTTCTCCACTGGGTCCAGGACGTGAACCACGGTCGGCTACATGGGAGTCCAGGGACAGCCATTAGGCTAACTGCTGGTCCCTATGTTTTCTTGTTTTGTTTTGTTTTTAAGAGGTTTTTGCCATAGCACTTGTGCACTTGCCAGAGAGAAACAGAGACTGTGAGAGGGAAAGTGAGAAATCACTCCCTAGGGGGGATGGCCATGCCACAATCCCTTTTCTTCCATTTTCCTCCTGTGATCTTGGGTACACGTGACACGTGCCCAGAGGATTTTCAAGCCACCCAGTTCAGGAGTCGAACCATGGTTGGCCATGTGGGACTGCAACGACTGTGGCATCTGCTGGTCCCTAGAATATTGAGTTTTTAAACCTTTGTATGCCCAGGAAGCCTGGACCACAGCTAAGGCCTGAGACCAGCTTTGTAAGTAATAGAAGGGAGAGTGTAAAAATAAGGAGAACAGAGATAAGCTAGCTGTTTATCTTGGCTTATTTATCCTTTTATGTATTTAATTTTTTCCTGAAATGGTAATGTATTGTTTTCATAATTGAAAAAATGTGTAATAAAACTGTGTAATAAAATAAAATACAGTGAAATAAATAGCTTAGAAAAATTTTGCTTGAAGAGCTGAAGGGACATTGTGGCCAGTTCTATCTCCTGTTTCTCAACAGACTTTGGAGACACAGTGAATTTTTTTGGCAGGGGAGAGGTTTTTGCTATAGGGCGCATGCGCTCACCAGACAGACAGAGAGACAGAAAGCGAGAAATCACCCCCCAGGGGGGATGGCCACACCGCAATACTTTCTCCTCCATTGTCCTCTCGGGATCTTGGGCGCACACACACACACGCGCCTGGTGTGAGTTTTAAGCCACCGGGTCCGGGACGTGAACTGTGGTCAACTACATGGGAGTCCAGCGACATAGCCATTATGCTAACTGCTGGTCCCGACACAGTGAATCTTTAAAACAGGAGCGGGGTGGGGGGAACTGGCAGGTGGCATTGTGACTTCTACATAGCCAACTGTGGATCAAGTCCTGGACTTGGAGGCTTGCTTTCTCATTTTACCCCCCTCTCTCTCACTGTCTCTCTCTGGGCCAATTAAATAATAATAATAATAATAATAAAATTAAAATAACTTAAAAAAAAAAAAAAAGGAAAAACAAAACAGGAGGAGAGAACAGTCCCATCAGGGGTTAGGGAGCAGCTGAGAAGCAAGTTCAGTTTCACATCCTTGGCCCTGCATTCTTGGCTGTCACCCAGAAGCATTTTCCTGTAGCCTGTTTGGTCCTTTCTCTTATCTCAGTCACCAAATTGTGTGTGAAAGCCTTGGGTAGTCTCACTCTTGATATTTCTTTTTGGGAAAATGAGAGAACTCTTTTTGGACAAGGATGATGAGTCGAAACATTGGCAGGGGAAGTGAGGTATGGATAGGGCACTGGATGTATCTCGTGTCTCCATCTGATTTCCTCACCACAGGACAGAGGGCTTGGTGGACTCATTTTCTCAGGGACTGGAAAGGTCATACACTGTCAGCAGCAGCGTGCTGCATGGCATTGAGCCACGGCTAAAGGACTTCCACCAGCTCTTGCTCAGCCCACCAAAGGTGAGTAGCCTCTCAGACATTCTCAGACATTGTAGAGTAGGATGCTTTGCAAGGAGAGGACCCCACAGTTGATTCTTGTTCCAAATGAGGCAGGGTGTGGAGTCAAGGTAGTCTGACACTGCAGCTCCTGGGCCCTTCTTGAGAAGCAGTGGGCAGATGCTAACACACATTTCAGGACCATTGCCAAGCACACCAGTGTCCACCTGCTTTTGTGTGAGGGATCCTGTGAGTTGGACATTTCACAGACTCCAAGGGCAACTAAGCCCGAGGTCAGCCTAGACATGGCCTCCAAGCTGGAACACCCAGTCAGAGGAAGCTCAGTTCCTGAGGGGAGGCCAGGGCTTCCCAGAGGAGGCCATTTGCTCCACTCAGCAGCCCTGGGTAATGCTTGGGTTATGTTGAGGAAGACAAAGTGTGCAAAAGCACCTCACTGCCTTGGCCAGTGCCATCCCCATTCTTATGCTCTTCTCACCTTGGTCTACTGCAGAGTTTATTTCACTTATCAACTTGCTTATTGGCTGCCTGGGGCATTCAGGTACTGAGCACTATGCTGAATGTGGGGATCAGGAAATACCTATGTCTAGTCTGACTAGGTTAGCTCTACCATCTTTCTCTGGGACTTCTCACGGGGCCTCTGTTAGCTCAGGTTCCTGATGCCATATACCTAGAGAGAGCCTGTAAACGTCTACAGCACGGTAAGACATCCTGCCAGGGGCTTCAGCCTGATCATGTGGTCTTGCATTTTGAATATACTTGGCCTGGCAACTCAGGCCAGAGTGCCCTTGGCTACCATCTCACTCATTAAAAAAAAATTTTTTTTGAAGAATTATTTGTTTAATTTTATTTATTTTTAATTTGACCAAAGAGGGACAGAGCAAGAGAAAGAAAGAAAGTGAGAAGGCAAGCCGCCAGGTCCGGGGACTTGAATCGTGGTCGGCCATGTGGGGGTCTAGTGCCCTTAACCACCAGACCACCTGCCAGCCCCCATCTTACTCTTTATGAGGCCTTGAGGGGAACACTGGGGTCCTTAATCCTATTGATTCCTTATTTCCTCAGAGCAGTCCTGCCTTGAGGAGCTCCCACATACACACCCCCCTTCCTGCTAGGCTGGGCCATGTCATTGAGCAATGGCCCTGACCCTTGAGCAATTGTACATGACCTAAGAGAAGTTGGCAGTGGCCATGCTCGTCACAGGGCTCCAATTGGGTGGTGCCTCCTATGTTCGCAGAAGAAAGCGATCCTGACCACCATCGGCGTGCTGGAGGAGCCCCTGGGGAATGCCCGTCTGCATGGTGCCCGCCTCATGGCTGCACTACTGCACACGAACACACCCAGCATCAACCAAGAGCTCTGCCGGCTCAACACCATGGACTTGCTGCTGGTGAGTGTGCACTGAGCCAGCCCTGTGTGCTTGAGCATGCCTTGTGTGATTGATAGAGGTCTGCCTGAAGAAAGGGTCTGGTCCCAAGTCCCAGAGCTTGGGCACAAGTCCTTGGTGGAGCACATAGAGTTTCAGAGGCAGATGCACAAGAGTGAATCAACCTTGGAATCACCCTGAAAGCATAGGGCAGATTTCTAATCTTGTTTGAGGGGAATTGAGTAGTCTTATCTGTCTCCTTTTTCATATTCTGACTTAACAAGATAGAAATTTTGCTATAATTACTAAATATAAAATGTCCTCAAAGATATCTTCCACAAAAGGCCACCCTGGAAGTTCTTGTCAAAGCAATGAAAATGCTCTTCCATTCAGTAGATGTTGCCTAGTGACCTAGATGCTCTGATTGCCTGATGTGTGGGCACTGATGGCTGGACAGTGCTGGTTATGGGCAGCAGGCTCCAGCACAGAGAGCACAGGGCTACCTCTGGGAAGGGGGATGCTGACGGGGAGGGGCATTATTCTAACTGGGTATGGTCAGCACACGCAGTTCCCTCTTGCCTCCTTGTTCCTTTTTTTTGGGAGAGGTTTTTGCTATAGGGCGCATGCGCTCGCCAGACACAAAAGAGAGACAGAGAGATAGAAAGTGAGAAATCACCCTCTGGGGGGATGGTCCACGCCACAGTCCCTTCTCCATTCTCCTCTCGGGATCTTGGGCACGTACGTACACATACCCGGCGTGAGTTTAAGACACCTGCTCCGGGACTCTAACCGTGGTCAACTACATGGGAATCCAGCGACATAGGCATTACGCTAACTGCTGGTCCCCTCGCCTCCTTGTTCTTGGCTGCTACTCCCAGGAAGTCCTACAGTCTTGGTCCCAGAATGAGCCAGCCTCAGAAATGGGACAGAAGAACTGTCTGCCTTAGAAGTTTTTCCTTCATTTGGAAGTTATTGAGTACTGTTGTGACTTGAAATCCCACCCTGGATAAAGGGAGCAATTATAAAAAACCTTCAAAAGAATTTTCTTTCTACTTGTCTTTTAATTGGAATAAAGCATCATAATACAAAATTTGCCATTGAAATGTGTGCAATTCAGTGGCGTTAAGTATATTCACAGCGTCATATACCTAATACAACTATCTATTTCCAAAATATTTTCATTTTCACAAACAGAAACTGTTTCCTTTAACACTAACTCCCCACTTGTACCTCTCCCCAGCCCACAACCACCGTCATTCTGCTTTTCTTATCGGAATGTAATTAATCTATGCATATCATAAAGCAAGATTAGAGTATTTGTCATTTTGTGACTGGTTTGTTTTTATTTAGCCTAATGTCTTCAAATTTTATCAGATACTGTCACACGTGAAAATGTCCTTTTTTTTTTTTTTTTGTTAGCGCACATGTGTTCACCAGAGAGAGTGAAGAGGAGAAAGCACTCCTCATAGGGAATGGTCACACCCCAATCCATTCTCCATGTCTCCTTTCGGGATTGTAGGCACACACAGATTATCCATTCATTCATCAGTGGACATTTGAGTTGCTTCCACCTTTTAGCTATAGTGAATAATGTTTTTGTTCATTGGTATACAAATGTCTGTTTGAGTTCCTTCTTTCAATTCTTTTTTTATTTTTTGGAAATTGCTATAGGGTCCTTATGGTGTGTTCATAGGAGACAGAGGGAAACTGAGAAGGCACCTCCCAGAGGAGATGGCATGCCACAATCCCTTTTCTTCTCAGGATTTTGGGCAGGCACATACATATACCCTGTATGTTTTTCAAGCTGCTGGGTTCAGGGCTCTAATTAAAGTTAGATATGTGGGATCCAGTCACCTTAACCACCATGCCACTGATTGGCCCTCACTTCTTTTGTATATATGCCTAAGAGTGGCGATATGGGATCATATGACAATTCTGTATTTAACTTTTTTTTAAGCTTTTTTTCATTCATGATCTGGGGGTAGATAAGGACCCCAAGAGGATCTCGGCATGCCAAAATCCCTTGCCTTCCAGTCATCCAGGTCCATACCCACAGGTATGCTCTGATACTCAGGTTAACTCAAACTGTACCTGGGCTTTCCTACATGGCTCCAGTACATAGTAGCGCCCTGTTGCCTGACCCACCACAGCTATAGTTAACTTTTTTTTTTGGAGAGGTTTTTGCTGTAGGGCGCGTGTGCTCGCCAGACAGAGCGAGACAGAAAGCGAGAAATCACCCCCCAGGAGTGATGGCCATGCCACAATCCCTTCTCCTCTATTCTCCTCTTGGGATCTTGGGCATGCACGCACACGCACCCGGCGTGAGTTTTAAGCCACTGGGTCCGGGACGGTTTACTACATGGGAGTCCAGCGACATAGCCATTATGCTAACTGCTGGTCCCCTATAGTTAACTTTTTTAAAAAAGGAATTATTTATTAAATTTTATTTATTATCCTGGGACCAGCAAATGGTATGGTGGTTAAGGCGCCGGGCTCACTCCCACATGGCCAACCACAGTTAAGTTCCGGGCCTGATGGCTTGCTTTCTCATTTTCTTTCTCTCTCTGTCTCTCTCTGGTCAAATTAAAAATAGTAATAAAATTAAATAATTCTTTAATAATACCTTTTTTTGGGAGAGGTTTTTGCTATAAAGGCGTGTGTGCTCACCAGAACGACAGAGAAAGACAGAGAGACAGAAAGTGCGAAATCACCCCCTAGGGGGGATAGGCATGCCACATCCCTTCTCTTCCATTCTCCTCTTAGGATCTTGGGCATGCACACACATGCGCCCTGCGTGACTTTAAGCCACCAGGTCCGGGACTTGAACTGCGGTCGGGTACATGGGAGTTCAGCAACATAGCCATTATGCTAACTGCTGGTCCCAAAATTAAATAATTCTTTAAAAAGTGTATTATCATAATTTTTTCTCAGTTTACTATAAGGCATGTGTGCTCACCAGAGAGAAAGAGAGAAAGTGAGAAAGCAAGCCACCAGGTCTAAGACTCAAACCATGTGGGAATCTAGCACCTTAACCAGCTTGCCATCTTCTGGCCTTATAGTTAACTTTTTTTTTTTTTTTTTTGTATTATCATAATTTTTTCTCAGTTTACTATAAGGCATGTGTGCTCACCAGAGAGAAAGAGAGAAAGTGAGAAAGCAAGCCACCAGGTCTAAGACTCAAACCATGTGGGAATCTAGCACCTTAACCAGCTTGCCATCTTCTGGCCTTATAGTTAACTTTTTTTTTTTTTTTTTATAGACCACAGATTAGTTTATTTTTAACACCCATCATGCCATGAATTCATAGGGAATAGGTTCCAGTAGCTC